GATATATGCTTCTGAAAACAATTCAAGGCCTTAAATGAGATAGCTAAAAAGCTCAGACTTCTACTTTGGATTCACAGAACATACATTCTAGTGAGGGGTTATACAAACGTACCACTAGATTCTTAAGATATACATAACAGTTTCCACTTACAGCTTGAGCAGCAAGACTCAAAGCAATTTCTCGTGGTAAGCCTGCAGCTACACCTCCATCAGCCATAGCTTCTATTGCTATATATACAAATGCCGTACCAGCACCGCTGCAAAATTATCCAAACAAAAAGCCACTAACTATGGTGAACAGCTATTGATGTATTTTTCTTTTTTGAAAATTGAAAGAGAAGCGTATGCGAGAGGACACATCTATGGTGTCTAGTACTCCATAAAGTGCCCATAGAAATAAAAAGAAGAGCTTGTCAAATGTACCTCTAAATATATGTTGACAGATGAACATATGTGCACACAGAATGATGTGTAAGTGCAAGAGCAGGTGCATTTCCAAACTCTAATGATATACATAAGCAGTAACCAGATACTTCCTAGTTTACAAGTGTGATTATGTTTTATCTTTTGATTTAGAACAGGAATGATACAGCGGCAGCAACAATATGCTACCCAGTTTACATGAGTGATTATGTTTATCTTTGATGATAGCAAAGACATGTACGTACCCGACAGCAGCAGCAGCATCAGACAATTTCTCATCCATTTTCCACACCTTGCCAACAGCTCCAAATAGATCTGCTATTAGCTCTCCGTCGTTTTCTGTTGCAGCTTCTCCCAAGTGCATAACTGTTTAATTTAAGTATATTAGTTCTCCGTTGTTGTCAAACATAGGATTGGACTAGCTATCCTCTCCAATCAAATGTAATCCAGTGCAATCCAATCCTACCACATAAACCAGTTAATCACAGTCCCAAACATGGCCAAACGGCAGTGAAGTTAAATAATTCAGATGTAGAAAGCATTTCTTTCAGTATAACACAATAAATGTGAGAACAAGGAATTAGTTGTTACCAGTAGCTGCCTCACCAATGACAGAAGCAGTAGTAGGGATTACTCTAACAAACCGACCATGACCGACCCATTCCTGGATAGAAGCTTTGAACAAATAAGTATTAAAAATATGAAAGTTCAGGAACTTGACTGTAAATTAACAATCTTTGAAAACTTTTTCAAGCATATCACAGTAACGCTACCAACAGATAGCTCAAGGACACAGAGGAAAGAGTAGAAATGTTTGCATTGAAGTATCGTTTTTTCTGGTAATGGATAGAACATAAGAAAATTTGTAAGCAAACATGATTCTATCTAATTTGGCTTACTTTTCCGTCTATGATGACCACCGCTTTTACTCACTAGATATTTGATTCATCCTTACCTTAGTAAAAATAAACCAAAATGACACTTCAACACGAACATAATAGATTTGATAACTAAGGTATTTTTGGAATTGGTCAAGGAAACAGGACTTTCGAATTGTAACAGTACCAGTTCAAAAGAATAAATTGTAGCAGTGTAACAGATAACTGAAATCTTCCAGAGAGTATTCATGAACAACCTAATGAATAATGTTGAGCGTCTGCATAACTCCATAATAATGAATAATGTTTGCTATCAAAGTGAAAATCAGCCTGTATCAAATGAAAAACAACTCTTAACCTTCATATCATAGATAAAATGCATATGTTTTCCAATATTAAGTTGCTGGAAGATATTCCATTAAACCTGTATAGCAATTGACAAAGTAGACAGACCCCATTGTGATTGATGATAACATCTACACAGAGTCAACTGGGAAGATGAATTTTAACCGGAAAGGAATTGTCTAAATATCACAATATGCTTTGAGCATGGAGACTCAATGATTGGCTAAGAGTGAATCTAGAGTCAGAGGACATGAACCTAAGAAATCATCATTTTGTAATGAATTGGTTGAGAAGTTCTGTCGTCACCCTTTAACATTATTGAGATTCTATTATTAAGCACTTATGCAACAAGTCGTTAATTTCATATAGTGGTCATCTATACAAACCTGTAGAGATTGCAATTTATGTCCCACAGCAAGTGACAGAAGAAGTTTATTTTGTGAAAGTAGTGGCCGTAAGTCCAAGATTACTTCCTTAACTGCATATCCAACAATCCAGTTTATGATAAAAAAAAAGAAGATAAAACTTAATAAGGATTATCAGTGATCAACAGAGCGTTAATAAGAATGCATGTCAAATTATTTCATATTCAAATAT